TTTTTGCAATTTTTCTATAAATCTAAATTTGTTCTAAAATGCAAGGGTTATTTAAAAGTAAATAGACTGATGGATATTTTATTCTGAGCTACCTGCTCAATTTTGTTGCTTGAACTAGAATGAAACCTGAAACTGCCTTCCCTCCCGCATTGTTGTTGTTGTGTGCTGTGGAGTCAGACCTGACTCATAGCGACCCTTCCTTGGGTTTCCAAGGCAGTATTACTATGGAAGTAGATGGCCCAACCTTCATGGAAAGTTTCTTTCTTTCTTTTTGGGTAGCTCTGGCTGCCAAAAGAAAGGGGGTCAGTATACAAATAATGTGTGGGGTACTCATGTTACCCCTGGGATACTTTTGCTACCTCATGGTAGACACTCTACTCTCCTCCTCCTAAATATATTAGGTATCATCCTTACCCTGCTTCTAAACTATTCAAAAGAGTATGGCTATATTAAGTGGAAACACATGTTTTCTTTGTTTTTTAAAAGACCTGAAAATGTAACCTTGGTTACTCATCTGAATATTTTCCTCTTCTGAGATGCTTAAAGGAATTTAGATGATATACAATGTCATATACGAAAGTCATAATGAATCAGAAGACATTGTCACATCCTAGGAAAACACATCTTGGTCTCATTGTGAATTCCTTGGAATGTCCCTCGCTATTTTACATCTATGGAAACGTTAATCTCTCTTCTTGATATTCTTATTTCTATGCTGTAGGTATCATGCATCAGTTCTATAGATCTATTCATTCATCAGCTTGGTGCATGCCTACATCAGGGCCTTTGCACTTGCTATTTCCTGTGGTTGAAATGCTGTTTCTCTAGATTTCCTTCATGAGTTTGAATTATATTCATCATAAATGCTTTTTTGATGACTTTATTTAAATCTGGCTACCCCTTCTCAACCCCAACACTCTCTTCCATTCAATTCTATTATTTTTCTTCATAGCCCCAACTGATATTTATTATGTATTTATTTGTTTCTTGTCATTTCTATTCGTAATTGCAGGAAGTTTGTTTATTTAATTTATTGGTCTATTCCTAGCATCTGGAACAGAGTCTGACATATTGAAAGCACTGAGTGTATCTCCATTTTTTCCCAGTGGGCCTGCAGACCCAAAGAAAGGGCTCCTGGTGACCTACTTGATGTGTCAGATTTCCCATGGTATTTATATAGGTTGAGACTCTACTTAGGTCTTTGCTCCATTTATATTTATATAGCTTTTGACAGTTTTCAAAGTTCTTTCATGTAGATTCTCTTCTGATTTATTTTGTAAGAATTTTCAGACCTATTTTACAAATGAGGAAGGTTAGGAGATGGAATTTGCAAAGCAAGTGTCAGTGACAGAACTTGAAACTAATCTTCCTATTTCTAGCTCATCTAGTGATCACCCAGGGTATATGTTTCATCTCTACTGCTCTAGAGTATATACTTTTGAAAGCAAGGATTTTGAATGATTTATTTTCATAATGCCTTACACACAGTGTGATTACTAAAGGTTTGTTGATTTGACCTTTTGATACACAGAATAGTTGTGGAAATAACCTTTCCAGCTGAAGCTGGAAGGGAAAGTTTGGGCTACTTCTTTCATCCACTTCTATCATCTACTTCTTTCACTGCCCTTAGGATAATCTCTTAGGAGCTCTGGTGGCATAGTGCCTAAGGCATTTGACTGCTAACCAGAAGGCTGGAGATTCAAACCCACCAGCCACTCCTCAGAAGGAAGATGGGGCAATCTACTTCCGTAGTAATCCTGCCTCAGAAACCCAAGGAGGGGTTGCTATGAGTCAGATGTGACTTGATGGCAGTGCGTAGGATAATCTCAAAAACTAGCCTTAGGTGTGGTCCACAGATTCACTGGGCTAAGGATGTGCTGTTCACACGTTAGTTTACACACAGATGACTTGAAAATATTGTCTATGTGCATTCTGGCTCAGTTGGCCAGGTATAGGGCCTGAGAGACTGCATTCCAACAAGCTCCCAGGTGGTGCCCATGCTGCTGGTCCACAATTCACACTGAGTATTTGGGGGCTGGGTAACCACGTGAAAGATGGGTTCTCTATTGGCCATCCGACTGTGTGACCTTAGGTAATTTTCTTTGAGATACTATAGCATTTTGTTAAACTAGATTGTTTTGGTTAGAATTCTGCCTCCTGGTGGCACAACAGTAAGTGCTTGGTTGATAACTGAAAAGTCTGTGGTTCAAACCCACCAGCTGTTCCAAGGGAGAAAAGATCTGGTGATCTACTCCCATAAATACTATATTCTGGAAATCCTGTGGGGACTTCTGCTTTTCCTATAGTGTCACTATGAGTCAGAATCAAGTTGACATTACACAACAACCACCACTGACTATATGACTTCACAAACATGGCTTAACTTCTTGCTACCTCAATTTCCTCTTTAAAAATGGAGATCACAGTAGTAATTAATTAATTCAGTTGCTATGAAGATTAGCTGAGTTAATGGTTGGAAAGCACCTAAAACTATAGTGTGGTACTCAGTGAATCTTAACAGATCTTTATACTTTCTTTGTCTCCATATGCTATTCTGTTAAACTACATCAGTAGGTTTAAGATATATGTGAGATAGGAAGTTATTTAAAATATTCAAGTTATGAAAAATAGCATGGTGTCTTTCATGAAAAGCCTAATCTGGTTGGAAGATAATTATTTTTGCAGTGTAATGAATTACTTAATATGGACTTTCTAGCCATAGTCTGTAACTCCCACCAAATGAGTGGGTGGGACTATGCAAATAAGATGCTTGTGGCCTGCCAAGTGGATTGGATAGTTTGCTAATATTGTAAATAAAGTGTGAAGCTCCCTTTGTGGGGGTGGGACTATGCAAATAAGGTGTATGGAACTCTAATTAGGGGATTGATCAGTTTAACCATCCCACTAGGCTTAAAATGAGACATCACAGAGATGGAAAGGGGGGACCTAATTACCACCAGAAGGAAAGACCAGAGTGGAGCATGTCCTTTGGTCCTGGGGTCGCTGTACTGGGAACCTCCTAGACCCAAGAGACAGAGAGCTGTAACTCTCGAGATGGCAAACAGACAAAGAGAAGCAGTGGCAGAGAAATTGCAGCAGCAGAGGATATAGAACCAGGAAATGAGCACAAGACAGCACAGTAAACTTCCCAGCCCACCAAGTGAGAAAGCTGAGTGCCTTTGGGCAGGAGGCTTGCTGGAGAAGTGGGGTGCCTCTGGTCACTTGGTGAAGCTAGAAACACCAACAGATGGTGCCCAGAGAGCTGAATGCCTTTGGGCAGGAGGCTTGCTGATGGAGTGGTGTGCCTCTAGGCACTTACTGGCTGAACTGAAGAGCTTTGTAACACTTACTCAAGCAGGGCAGAGGCCAAACCATGGTGCCAAGGGCCGGAGAGAGACCTGCCTGTGGGCATGGCTGAGAAGAGGCTGTCCTGATTGAAGAACTGTATCCTGAGTTGTTTCTGGTCTTGCATTTTAATCTGTCACTTCCCTAATAAACTCCATAACTGTGAATATGGTCTGTGAGTTCTGTGTGGCCATTGCAGTGAATTATCAAACCCGGTAGAGAAGTAGAGAGTGCTGTGAGAGGGACAGTTGGTGTCAGAATTGGTGAAAAGGTTGGACTGTGGAGGCATGTCTGATCTCTGCTTCACAGGAATCAGTCTTGATCCTTCTCCTCCCTTGTGAAGTTAGAGGAGATCAGACTATGACTCCTCACCAGACCATCTTTACACTTTTGTTAATGAATAATGCAGTAGAAGTCAGCTAATGGTGATTCTTCTTATGTTCTCACAACTGTGCTGTGTACTATATACTGAGTTCTAACAAGCATAAATGAGGGGAAAGTCAACAGGCATTCCAGTTTCGTGGTATAGTGTCATGGTACATGATACTAATCACAGGACATAAAATTGTTTTGATTTATCTTAGTTATATATTAAATCAACTTGATTTTAATTGGCAGCATGGGATTATAGAAAGAGCCCTCGTGGTACAGTGGTTAAGTGCTGGCCTGCTAACCGAAAGGTTAGTGGTTCAAACCACCAGCTGCTCCTCATGAGAAGGATGTGGTAGTCTGTTTCTGTACAGATTACAACCTAGGAAACCCTACAGGGGACTTCTACTCTGTCTTAAAGGGTTGGTATGAGTTGGAATTGAGTTGACAGCAGTGGGTTTGGTTTTGGATTTTTTTTTTTTTTTTAATGGCGGTATAGAACCAAGAATCCTAGAAGTCAGTGAGAATCCATTTGGTGCCTAATTTAATTCATCCTGTGGTGAGGGAAAAAAAGCACAGATAAAGGGATATTTTTAAAATATGTAGTTTCATTTTTTTATGAGCCTTTATTTATAATCAGAAAAAAATGTATAAATTTCCATTTTGAAAAACATAAATAAGCAATAGCCAAAGCCATACTTGGGATTGAATGAGGTTTTATTTTGTTTTTCTGTTTTATTATTATTATAGTAAATATGTAGGCTCTTGTGGGATAGTGCCTAAGGCATTTGACTGCTAACCAGAATGCTGGTTGTTCACACCCACCAGCCACTCCTCAGAAGGAAGGTTGAGGAATCTACTTCTGTAGTGATACTGCCTTGGAAACCCAAAGAGGGGTCACTATGAGTCAGATCCAACTCAACGGCAGTGAGTAACAAACCATTTACCATTTCAATAATCTTTACATGGATAGTTAATTGTTCGTTGTTGTTGTTATGTGCCGTCGAGTCGGACCCGACTCATAGCGATCCCTCCTTAAATATGTTCATCATGTTGTTCAGGTATCATCATGAACTATCCTGATTTTTTCCATCATCCTTCACAGAACCTTATTGTCCTCTAAGCGTGGTAAAGAGAGATTTTTATTTTTAGTTTTTCAAATAATTAATGAAAAATAAAGTTCTGTTATTCAGGAAAAACATTTAAGCAACTCACTTCTTCCACTGACTCAAAAGTGTAAAAAATAAGTTTTTAATTAACATGGAGTTTTTCTTCCTTTGTTTTAGGATCAGATTTTATTAAGACCTCTACTGGAAAAGAAATAGTAAATGCCACCTTCCCAGTAGCTATAGTGATGCTACGGGCCATTAGAGATTTCTTCTGGAAAACTGGAAACAAGGTATATGATTGCCAGCATATCTTTCTTCAGAGTAAAGATAATGTTATTTATAATACTAGTTACAGCCACGATAACTGTCTTTATATGCAGAAGGTGTGAATGAGTTACCTTTATTAAGATAAATGTTTAATTTATCTTTCATTACAAAAGAACGCATTCATGGAGGAGACTGTGCGATTAATAGAAAGTGAGTGTGAGTGTGGGAGTAAGTATGTGTGATCAAGATGTAAACTCACTTTCGTCCTTTTATTAACTGAAGACAATTTTATCACTGACAAGAAATTCCTAAATGGTTCTTTAACGAACTAATTCTGCTGCAACACAGAGGCTTTCTGGGCAAGGCGTTGGGCAGCAAAAACAGGTTAATGCAGAAATTAAACTTCCTTGAGGAATGGAAAGAATTGCAGAGTAACATTTATTGAATGATAAGCTGTGGTGGTGATATGAAAAGTATGCAATATAATGGGAAATAATCTTTTCCTGTCATTATTGAAGGACACACATAAATTGGTTTTTCTGTTGGGAAACCCCCGGTCCAGAAAAACTTATTACTTTTAATAATATGAGGTGAAGAGAAAATTCTCGAGGAGATGAACTTATTAAACAAAATAATGAAATGCTGTGAAACAGCAGGGAAAAGGTAGCTAGACGTTATATAGCTCTTGAATTAAATATCCATTTTTGCGTTTTATGGCAGTTGGATGTGCTCTTTGGAAGACTGTTAAGCTGAGGAGGGTATATGCTAGCTTTTGTCAGCTTTTCAAAAAATAATATTTTTTTGAAACACGAAGTTAAAAGGGAAAATGTATTTGAGGTGTTTTTATTTTTTGTTTTGTTTTAAAATTAGTTTGAATTTTGCTTTTCACTTCAAGCTGCTTGTTTAGCTACAAATTATCTCAAAGGATTTTTTTTTTTTTTTTTTACATCACTGGCAAGAAAGGTAATGTCTTTCTGTCATTGTTTGTTCTAAATGAGACTTCTCCTTCTTCAGAAGACTTCTTTTTGTACCAATCTCTTGATTTCTGCCAAATGGAAACCTAAAAAAGACCTCTGATTCTTCACTAACTGGAAATGATGACTTATATGTGACTGTAGCTTCAGTATATATTGGAATAGGAGACATTTTTAGAATGTACTGGTTTTGAGAGAAAATGAACTCCTTCCAGCATTTTGTCCTTCCACATAATTTCACATCTTTAAAAAAAAATGTAAATAGGCTAAAGCTCTGTTGTGACTCCACCTGCAACTGGCCCGACTTGAGAAACCTCTACTCTAGTAGCCTTTCTGCAATGATTCAAATAACTTTTTTTTTTTTTTTAAAGAAAAGATGTGAAAGACAGGAATCTATCTTTTGTCCCTCAATTTAGGGTATCATTCACTAGACCAGTGGTTCTCATCCTTGGCCAAAGAATATAAAAATCAGATGTGAAATACTTCATACCAATAGTTGCCTGGTCCCCCTACCCTGACGGTCCTGGATCTGAGGTAGGGGTGGGAGTCAGGGGTAGTACTCAGGCATCTGATGTGTCACAAGCTCCACAGGTGATGGAACGTGCAGTCAGCATTAAAACTTGTCACTGGGGACCCAATCCTATTTTGTTCTCAGCTGACAATGAGTAGTTACCATGTACCATGTCCTGTGTTAAGTGCTGTTGCTGTTGTTATGTGCCATTGAGTCAATTTTTGACTCATAATGACTCCATGTGACAGAATAGAACTGTCCCATAGGGTTTTATAGACTGTACCCTTTATGGGAGCAGATTGCCAGGAGCCACTGGGTGGGTTTGAACTACCAACCTTTTGGTTAGCAGCCAAGTACTTAACCATTGTGCTGCCATGGGTCCTTGTGTTAAATGCTAGGGATATAAAAATGAATAAACGAGGACCCTTAAACAATAATGAGAGAATTTTAATAAAAATTTTAAGTGCTCAACAGAGATACATAAAGGATGTTCCAGACCAGAGTACAGAGGAGAGATACTTTCCTGCCTTGCCATACTTTATTTTTAATTTTATTGACCTTTCCTCAGCTAATAGAGTACCTCCCAGTAACAAAAGAATAGATACAAGTCAAGCAGTATTCATCTTTCTCATGTTTGATTTCACATAATGAGGATCTGTCCATGTATTTGCAAATCAGCTGCAGCCTTTTGGGTTGTTGACAAGGTGCTGGGGCAGCGCTTGGCTTGTAAAGTTTCTACCTCATTGATTTAAGGAATGTTTTAAAATGTGATAGGTTGCCTTCCAGACCATGATTAGTGTCACTCCTGAGAAGCAGAGGTTTAATATTTCATTGCAGATTTATGTTTTCTATATTATTTCGCTTAAAAAAGAAAGGATAAACTTAAACTCGAGCTTCTCTTTCGAAACTTTGCCAAACAGATTTGCTGACACACTGAACTAATTGACAGAAATGCTCCTATGATGAACATGTATGGTAATATCAGCTAATTTTTTCCCCCTCTTTTCAGTGAATAACCTCATCCCACTTATTCTCTCCTTCCCCCAACTTCCGCCACTTCTGCAAAGCCATAGCTTAGGCTCCAGGATAATAGCCAGATGTGGTTGGAATCCCTGTACTGCTACTGATTAGCTGTGATTGAGTCAGGGAAACTAGTTAAGAAACTTTTGTGGATATTCTATGTGAGAATTGATGAGGGTCTAAATTAAACAGTAGAAATGAGAGTAGGGAGGATAGTATGCATACAAGAGATATAGAAGTTAAGGAGGTAGAAATGACAGGGCTTGACTATTCATTGACTGTGGTGTGGTGGTGAGAATGGTGGATCCCAGGTTAACCATAAGGGTGCTAGCTTGGATCACCAGGTTTCTAGCTTGAGTGTTGATGGGACCATTGTCTCTCTGCTCTATTGTTCTGTTAGCAGTTACTTCCTGCAGTGCCACCTGTCAAACCCGCAGCTCTAAGTGATAAAAAGTGTGCTTCATACTTGAACTAGGGGATGCTGTTTTGATTACTCTCATCTCTAGGTTCTTTACTTGATAGTCAAGTTCCTGAGACAATTAAATCCAGATGATCTGGGTTTTACTGTATAGGAAACATGTTTATCTTTTCCTGATGGACCCAGAAACCTCATTTATAAACATCTGATATTGTCTCAATATTACTATTTTGTGGATAACCCTCAAAGACTACTGAACTGTGAGGTGCCTCCACACTGTCTTTTTCTACCTTGCTTTTGTAACTGGTCTGCCTGTTTTATAGAACTCTATCCACCTATAGCTTAACAAAAGAAAAACAGTTTCTGCAATTAAGTTGATTAAAACTAGGGTCAATACTTCCTGGATTGCTGCCAGTTTGATTAATGTGACCTTGTAGCCTCACTAATTCTGTCCTTTTATTTAAACATACGTGTGTATCCTTCTTCTTTTTTTAAAGTTGTGATGAGCAAATTAATTTTCCATACAATAATTCATATATTTTGTTTCATGACATTGATTGCAATCCCCATAATGTAACAGCTCTCTTCCCACTTCCTCTCCGTGGTTACCTTTTCCCTCTGCACTTCTTCCCTATGCATTTACACATATGTGTCTTTTGAACTTCAAGATGAAGGCTTGACTGGTAGAACCCCTGAGACTATGATCTCTAGCTGCCCTTTAGGTCTGGAATTGAACTCACTTCTGTGGCTTCCAGACAAACAAAAGACAGGCATATAAGGTGAACATTTACAACAGGTAGATAACACTCCTTGGAGAGATCAATCATGGGAGAATAGAAGGGCTGTGTATGCACAGGGAGACAGCTCAGGTGGCAGGAGTGCATGGGAGGGAAGGACACAGGGAAGAGGTAACTATAGAGGGGAAGTGGGAAGAGAGCTGTTGCAACGTGGGAAATTTCAGTCAATGTCATGAGACAAAGTGTATGTGAATTGCTGTATGTAAAGTGAATTTGCTTTGTAAACTTCCACCCAAATCACGATAAAATTAAAAAAAAAAAAAAGAAGGCTTGAAAGGTGAACGATGCAGGCTTGTAGAAATGTAGAATGAATGGGCTTTTGTGATACCTGTTTTCCTATTTACTGACACTTTGCTTGTTTGTCTTGGGCTTGAAGTTATAGTCTCCATGGTTGAGGTTTATGACTTTCCAATAAGTGAAATGTTAAAGAGGGTTATTAACCCTCATTAGTGTCTCCTCAATAGCAGTGACATTCTTCCCACTAATCCTGGGAAAGCTATTTTGTAGTGAGAATGGGTGTGAGCGGTGATCTAAGCTTTTTGCCAGATGATGTGAAGAATGTACACTCTTGGGGAGGTTAAAACAAAGACATACAGAATTGAGGCACTGTATAAACCCAGTACTATTTTTTAAAGGTCGGAAGGAAGGTTGGGCAATCCTACTTCCGTAGTGATACTGCCTCGGAAACTCAAGGAGGGGTCGCTATGAGTCAGGGCCGACTCGACGGCAAACAACAACAACAACAACAATTTTTTAAAGCAATCCAGTGACAGTAAGCAATGTTCTTTTCCCCATCTTCCTTTGTAGATAGGGTTTAAACCAGCAGGAGGCATCCGCAGTGCCAAGGATTCCCTTGCTTGGGTCTCTCTTATTAAGGAGGAGCTAGGAGATGAGTGGCTGAAGCCAGAACTCTTTCGAATAGGTGCCAGTACTCTGCTTTCAGACATTGAGAGGCAGGTGAGTAATAAACTGCTGCCCTTAGAATAAATTGACGAGTGTTTTCAAGAAAGAACTAGAAAGTCACCTATTAGGTTATGTAAAGTTATAATAAATTGAGAACTGGAGATGAAAACTTTATCATATTGAAACCTCTGCCTTCTTCCAAGCAAACCTCCCCCTGAAGTAGGTTGGGGGGAGATTCTTTTGAAGTACAGAATGGTGGGGCCTTTTAATGAAATGTCAATTAAAATTCTAAACTCTTAATTTTCCTCACAGATTTACCATCATGTGACTGGAAGATATGCAGCTTACCATGATCTTCCAATGTCTTAAATCAGCAACCAGTTATGGAAAAGTTCTTCACAACAATGTTTAAAAATTATTTTTCTCCATAATTGCTAAAATCATTTAATCAAAATATCAGAGAATAGGTAAATTGCTTTCTTTTCTCTTGAAGCTGTCATTGGAATTCACTCAAAGAAGGAAAATCTACATGTGTTGCTCATTTCAGGAACATCTGAAATGATCTTAATTGCTAGAAGATCTATGCTTGTTAATTTTGGGAAGAGTTTCTCTTAAGACTCTGAGTAGAATGTTAATGACAGCTTGGACAACATTAAATTCTTAGGGTGGGGTGGGGGATATTAAGGTGCCCAAGCACTGCTCTAGCAAAAAAGAGAAAAGAAAATGCAACATCCTAGAACAACTGTTATACTCTAATGACTTCAGGAGTCGCTGATTCAGTACGAATTTCCTCCTGTCTTTAATTTTTTTGATGGATATGCTTTTTTATTAAGTGTTTCGCTATTGAAATTTTTGATACTGTTAAATGAAACTTTGAATATCCTTGATTTTTTTAAAATAAAAAAGTCTCTATGGTTGTTTATTAAAAAACAAAACAAAACAAAAACCTTTAAATTGTAACAAGTATGTGTTGAAAAATTAATCCATTAAACATACAAACAGATTTTGCCAGTGATTTTCTCAATCTCTCTCATAAATTCTATGGGTATATTTCTTAAAGAAAGCACCACAGTAGATTATTAATGATTACAACTTATGTAAATATTTTGAAACTCTTAAGATTTTCTGGTGTATTGAATAAGGGGAAAAGTAGCAAATACTAATATAGCACTTTTTATGTGCTTAGCACTGTTCTGGGGAGCTCTGGTGGCACAGTTTTATGATCTTTACATATATCAATTTATTTAATCCTTATTTAATATCTATAAGCTAAAACCCTCACAACTGGATCAATAAGCCGCATCACAATAAATGGAGAAAAGATGGAAGTTGTCAAAAATTTCATATTACTTGGATCCATAATCAAATGCTAACCCAAGCCACGGTATTTTTAATAGCCTCATATACATGGGAAAGCTGGACAATAAATAAGGAAGACCAAAGAAGAGTTGATTCTTTCCGTTGTGGTGTTGGCAAAGAATACTAAAATACCATGGACTGCCAGAAAAACAAACAGATCTGTCCTGGAAGTAGGGCAGTGAGAACACTCCTTGGAAGCAAGAATGGACAGACTTTATCTCACCTACTTTGGTCATATAAGAAGGGATCATTCCTTTCTGCTATTATGCTTGGTAAAGTAGAGCATCAGTGAAAAATGGGAAGACCCTCAACAAGATGGACTGACACAGTGCCTGCAACAGTGAGCTCAGGTGCAGCAAGGATTTTGAGACTGGTGCACGACCAGGCAGTATTTCATTCTGTTGTACATGGGGTCTCTATGAGTCAGAGCTGACTTGACGGCACTTAACAACAGCAACAACAGTAAGGAAAATACACTATTCGATCCTTATGACAGTAAGTACTAGTATTACTATCTTAGTATATATATGTAGGAACGCTGGTGGCACAGACTGTTTATGATTGGCTGCTAACTTAAAGGTTGGTGGTTCAAACTCACCCAGCAGCTCCACAGAAGAAAGGCCTGGCAGTCTACTTCCATAAAGATTACAGCCAAGAAAGCCCTGGGGAGCAGTTCTACTCTGTTCCACAATGGGTCACCATGTGTCAGGGCCCAACTCTATGGCAGGTAACAGAAACAACATTGTTCAGGAGAAGGATTGAGGTACAGAACATTGAAGCGACTTCCTCAGGTCACAGAACTAGAAATTAGCAGAGTCAAGAACCAAGCACAGGCAGGCAATCAGTTCTTCACCTGTGTAGAACTGCCCTTAGTACAGAGATAGGTGGCTATAACCAGAGCTCACTGTCATTATGGGGAGTGGTAATCAGCTTTGTCTTCTGTCACTTTTCTTTGCGCTCTCTCCCCCAGCCTCCCTTCTACCTCTACCTTTTTTGCTTGCTAGCATCTCTACCACATTATAGAATCTAAGTTTCCTTAAACAGTGGTTTTCATCAAGAGTTAGTCAATTTTTCCTCCCTGAATGACTGTCAAATGATACATAAGCAAAAACCTGGGAGTCAGAGTTTTGGTTTTATCTTCTCATCTGCTCAATTCTAGCCCAAACTCTTCCTCTTTCTAGTACTGTGACCTTGGTCTAGTTGGCTTCTTTCTTTACCTCAGTATCTTCATCTGTAAAAGAAAAGATTTGTGATAGGTGATATCAAGGTTCTTTCAGACCTAAAATTATATTACTCTATAGGTAATTATAACAAATGCAAGAAAATATTTTATGGCTATTAAGAGAAAACACTTTGGCATCAATCTCAATTAGAATTTGCCTCTTGGGAGTCAGTTAAGTCCCTTAAAGAACATTTCTAACTGTAAATGAAATGACTTAAATAAGGCATACTGCAGTGCTGTAACAGAATTCTGACCCTTAACTTGTGTCTTTGGATATGGTCAGTGTCTCTGAATGCTATATTTGACTTCATAATATGTTGGCCTAGTTGCTTACCAACATATTGGCCAGTCACTTTTGGAGAAGAAACATTACAGAAAAATAATTACTTTCCTTCACCTTTGAAACCATTCCAATTTCACAGGGGTTTCTGTTTTCCTCCCATTAAACCCAGCTGGTCATTTTAGTTGATCTAGTGAACAGGCATCATTATCTTCTATTTTAATTTATATGAGGCTTCTGCTGAAATTGACCTCTGTGGACAATTTCAGATTCACATAGTAAATTAAGACTGGTGAGTCCCTTAAACCTTTTAGAAGTTGATGAGGATGGCCTGATCTAAAGGTAAGTAATGTTATATTTTGGGGGACAATTTATTCCAAAAACTATTGGGCTCTTCATCAGGGATGCCCTTTTTTACCTGGCTCTTGAAATCAGTTGTAACATAGATGACTTTAATAGGAAGACCCTGGAAAATGTTGATTGCTCTGAAAATGTGAGAAGAGGAGGTCATTCCTGAGGTGACTGTCATCTACTGAAAGTGTATTTCTGTGCTTTAGGACATTGGGAGCAAATGCTTTTTTATACAATCAGAAAATGAGTTGCTGTGTTCAGTGTTTGAAGTTTCTAATAAAAATGACTGCCCACAAATTGTTGGAATAGTTCAGTAAAACGTATTAGGCCTTAATGTTATTTTTCAAAACGTCACGTAACTTGGGGGCTTGAGTGAGACCTTAGAGAATATCTAGTTTAATCTCCATCATTTGTCACATGAGAAAAGAAATTCAGGGTGAGGAAGTTACTTGTGCAAGGTCACATAAAAGCTCAGAGCTGAGTCCAGAACCCAAATTATTACCACACCATGAAATATTTTGTAAGAGACAGCCAGGCCTATAGAATTAAAAATTTCCTGCTTGTTTATATACCCTGTAGTACCAAATGGTATGTTTATCAGCATGTAAACTTCAGACTTTCTACTCCCTTGTGCCAGTAGATGAGTTCTGAATGGTGTTTTAGAGAAGACCAACCATCTAAATCTAGCTGAAGTGATAGTGCGGCTAATTC